AGCCTTTCGCGAAAGCGAGGTTGCTACTGAATCAGACCAATCTGAAAAACAATTATTAGAAAAAAATTGCGAGAACAATGTAAAAGACACTTCTCTGATGTCATATTTTTGCAGCGATTTAAAAGTTCAAACAGAATTCATTGACGACATTTATGAGAGTTATCAATGCGTTCCTCCAGTTGAACTCAGTGGTTTGTTTACGACGTGCATGTTAATGAAAATTTTCGTTTTTTACCTTTGCTGATTTTATAGGTGTAAAAACTACTGTAATTTATCCTGCTTCACAAAAGCACATTGAAAAATATACCGTTTGCCAGAAATTCATAATAATAAGTGAATCCCCCGAACTTTACGAAGAGATTACATTGCCCTACATAAGCACTAGCCAACACTCATTGGAGGTAAGTTTTCAATACATAAAATAAAAATATATATGCAGCCCATGCCGTTTATGCATTTATGTCGTACACCATTTGTTGTACAGCGTATGCGTGCAGATAGATATACGTGACATCCAGACAATCTTAAGATTCAGAATCATTTTCTGTCTAAGCTGGCCTGCCCGCATACTCATGTATTTTAGTGTTCAACGTATAATCGCAGTTTTTGAGATATTTTGATAACACTCGGTATACTGACTTATTCTGGCCCAGTCTATTGAAAACGATTTGGATTGGACAACTTTTCGACTACTCCTTTTTTTTGAAAAGTCGTTATATAGAAAACTTACAATTTTCAATATTTCGTGACAAAAATTGCTGAGTAAGAGTATTTTGATATACTTAATTGGCATGAATAAGTCTACTTTGTATAAGACAAAAGGCCGGAAAATATGCGGGTTATCATGAAAAACTATGCTTTTACGTGGAAATAATGTGTAACTTTTACTATATTATCACGGAAAGGAGTGAATAACTGTACTAGGCGAGATAGTGTATGGTATCTAAGGGCCGACCTATTGGTTTCTCTCATCCAAACGCTAGTTTCAATCATTGAAATTTAGATTTTCCCGCTGCCGTGAAAAGTAGAAAGGTGGCATCATTAAAACGGGTGTATCTTGTTTTTATCGCAATGTTCAGCAGTAGAGCTGCACCTCTGAGTATACCTATATTCAACTGACTTTGTATTGAGGCCTTTTTTTACGGTATATTAATATGCCTTATTTATATTTCATTCCAGACTGTGGGATTGGCTTTTATGCTGTATACGACGCTTTTATTTTACATATTTCGTGTTCTTCCATTAATTTGATTTTTTTGACTTTTCTTGATCCAAGCTTTTGTTCGATTTCCATAATAACTCTGAGATCCTCGTAGCTAATTAAAATTTTATAAAGTAGCAAAGTTATCGGTAAAAATAGATAGGTGGACATAATCCACGCAACTTTTACAAACGGTTCGTGGCTGTAGACTTTCCTTTGCTTAATCCTGATTTATACTTCAGAGATCTCACAAAGTATACATATTCTTAATCAGCATTAAATACTACTTCGATTTAAGCATGACCATCTGCGCAAAATCTAAACATTCTCCTAACCGCAAAAATGAATCTATCGGCTTCGGATTTAGCAGAAACATTGGAAGTTCTTGCACGCAAAATAGTGTTGAAAATAAGCAAAAGTGGTCGAAGAACACACTTACAGACAGTAGCATCTAAGCTAAGAATACCTCCTCTTTCGCTCGTTACTCATAAACTACAGCACATAAATCTCCAAAAATTTGAATGTATATGCTGTGGGTAATGTAGTAAGTATTTCAGGTGTACAAAAATAGGAAAAATTGACTGCTATTAAAATTTAATTTTCATTACCTTTACAACGCTCAAATGCAAGCTTCAAAGACTCCATAAGTAAATCATTTCTTGGCCAGTTTGAAATTCGGAATGCGCCTAATCATGTTAGTGTGCCCAGCTGTATAGTATCTACGGACACATTCTCTAATTCATAAAAAAGAAGATATCGCTTGCTTTTTTGCAAAAGTGCTTGAAAATGGCCGAAACAGACTAAGGAATATTCTGCTTACAACGCCGCAACGACATACAACCAGAACAGAGAACGCCCTTTCCTTGTTCGTTGCTAATAAACTACAACAAATACACAATATAAATTACCACAAAAATAATTCTGCAAAAACAGAAAATACAATATTATCGAATATTGTTCCCTTTTTTTCAAAAACAGTGACGGTTTATAAAAGGGCATCTTTTCATTTCCTTACTTGTTTCTAATTAGACGCGCCAATTTTTATCCTTTATAAGTTTTTATTATATCGTTGAAAATTGTTGATAATAATATTACTGATCCTAGTTTCATTTTTTACATTTTATTTGTTTTATTTCAAGTGGGTATACAAGAAGTGGAGCGCATTGTTTATGAGGATCCCGACCCAGAAACCGGTTTCATTTTGTTACCTGATCTAAAATAGGATGGTCGCAAGTTAGAAACCTTACATCTTTTGGCCATTAGCCACAAACGTGATATTAAATCGATGCGTGATCTTAATGCACGTAATTACTGCGTAATATTCGTTTACGGGCAGCAGATAATATAAATACATTTGAATAACCGAGAAAAATATGTCGCAAAAGCGTAAAGGGTTGTAGAGATTTCATACAGTCAGCTGAGAATATAGGTCACCGCGGTTTAGGAGGCTTGGTTGTATTGACGGACAAAACGTATGACGCATGGATAAGTCAATTCTGACTTTAAGAAAGACAAAGGGGCAAACCAGACGAACACATCGATTCCATCGAAAGTATGACAAATATAAATCCATTTGTTGTTCTTTATGGGATGGGGAAAAGGCAAACGAGGCAAAACGATGTAACAAGAGTAACACGTGAAGTATTGCATTGGAAGCCGATAGCAAACAAACGAATCCACATTAATAAAATCTGTCGTCGTGATTTAAAATATAACTAAACAAATAAAATTATAATTATAAAATGTAAATAAATAAAATTATTGCATTATTGCATTTTTGGCGATACCATTGTTTTTACATTTTTCGAACAGGATATATAAGTAAATAATGGAGATAATGAGTAAATGAATAAACAAATTGTCCGTAAAAAGAATATACTGACAGAGAGAGAGAGAGAGAGAGAGGCTATAACTTAAAATAATAAAAATAATTCATCTCGTGGTTTCTTTCTAACACTTCTTGGAAAATCTCTTCAACTCCTCTACCGCCTAAACATTATATTTATATATTTAAATAAATTTACGCAACATTTCCTGTTTGTAATATGCTTTTGTATCTCAATACCAAAACCTAATTAAACATTATTAAGCATTATTCAACATTCTTAAGCATGTCAAATATAAGCAGAGTTAAACATCGAAACCTTATTAAACGTTATTCAACATTATTATTTTGACTGGGCGATCTTTTCAATTCCCTGTCATATACAGTGTTATGGAGTTTTATGATGAAAATAGATCTAAGATAATGATTTTATATACAAACGCTCTTTTTATTTGAAATATTTTTAAATTTTCTCAATTTTTCACTCAATTAATATTTTTGAGTTTCTTTTCTTTCATTTTTTTCGCAATTTTTCAATTCCTACAACTGCTTTGTACATTAAATGAATTTTATAACGGAGAAAGATACATTAAGCATATAAGCACGGTTTTCCACCCTTGAGTATCGTGGTAGGCGCCATAAATAAATGGTTAAATTCCCTGTTGAAAGCACAGAGTCGCTTTTAATAAATAAATGGTTAAATGCCCAACTTAACAAAAATGTTAACGCCAATCAGCTAAGTTAAAGGCCCAACTTAATCGACAAAAGGGATTCGATTCTGTTAAGTAACAGACCAAAGGGATTCGATTCTGTTAAATGCAAAGCCGTCGGCAGAACAAAGGAAAACTTTGGGATATTTAGTAACTAATGTTAGTAACTAATGTTTTTTATTAATAAATGTACGTTTTCATATAAAATTTCTTAATTTCTTCAATTTTACAAATTCTACAATTTATTTAGTATCTAATGTTTCTTTATTTTTTATTAATAAATCTGTTTCCATATAAAATTTCTTAATTTCTTCAATTTTACAAGTTAGCCTAAAATTAGACCGCCATAATTTTTAAACGAAACCCTCGCCAACTTCCCTGTTAAAAGGCAAAGAAAAGAGTTTCTTGCAAAAAATAGTCTAAAAATGGCAGCTCCGTTAAATGGTTAAAAGCCCAACTTAACAACTTAACAACTTAAATGGTAAATGTAGAGGAGGTGATAGAAGAGCAAAAGCGACAAAGTCAAGGAAAAAGAATCGGAAACAATCAGGAAATCATTAAAAAGAATAACAATTTCTTTTATATATATTTTTATATATATTAATAAATCTATTTTAAATATATAATAAAGCTAATAAAGCATAAATAAAACTATTTATATTTAAATAAAAATTGTATAAATTAATATACAGCAACAGGAAAGGCCAGTTTGATTTTCCCAATGACAAATCAAAGCGGTTGAAAAAGTGTTTATTGCTATAAGCTCCAACTAGACGGATGCTTTTGGTTATATTTTTGGTAATACCTTGAGTTTTGGGTTATTGGTCCCCTAATTCAGGTGTTGTAGTCTCGGTTTGTAATAATAATAATAAATTGCTATTAGGTGTCTCACAGAGTTCATTGGGTGACCTAAAATTCAATATTGGGTTTAATGACAACAAGCGATTTTTACGAAACATCATTGGAACATTGAAAGTCGAATGCCCGATGTTTAAATGTTGCCAAGTATTTCGAGATTTTAAAACGGTTTGTTTCGGTCTGTTGACATAAAAATTGCTTTGAATCATCCTGAGGAAGAACCCATTGACTTAATACAATATTAGCATTATCCCACCTCTCCACTCCCTTCATCGTCTTCAACTTTTATATTCGACTTTTTCTCAGCTGCTTCTTAAGAAGTATAGCGGAAATTTTAATATGAGGTGATCAACATGACAGTTCGGTTTCGAGCAAGCAGCGCTTAATAACTCGCTCTTTATAGTTATGTATTAATTATTTTCCTTTTTCCAGATTTTTCCTAGAGATTTAAAACTTGTTAAATAATGGAGGATGACTTCTTTAACGTACTCGACGCTAAAAGAGAGTTAAGACAGAGTATAGTGGAATGTCAGAAACGTGGTTTAGATTACAGCGTCAAATGGTTAGCTGAAATGTGCCACGGCCTTGCGGACGTGGATATTGACGGCGAGGATGAAAAAGATAATTTCGGTATTAAAATGCTGGAAGGCATAGCACCGAAAGAATATGATAATTATTTTCTGGCTAAAAGTTACTTTGATGTACGTGAATATGATAAAGCTGCTCATTTAGTGCGGAATGCTAGCTCTCCAGTTCCCAGATTCCTTCATCTTTATGCCACTTATATGGCAATGGAGAAACGACGGTTGGATTCGACCACGGATCAATTGAATCTAAATGACTCAGGTCACTTTAAAGACCTGGGTGAGATTTTGGTTACTTTGCGGGCAGAGCATTCACGAAATAATCTAGACGATTACGACATGTATTTATACGGTGTTGTGATAGAAGAGCAAAAGCGACCAAGTCAACGAAAAAGAATCGCAAACAATCAGGAAACCAATAACAATTCCTTTTATATTAAATAAATGTATATAAAAATAAAATATATATAAAAGAATGATTGAATGATTGCTTTTGCTTTGATTTCACATAAAGCATTAGTTTATAAAAACCTCCCGAGCTCCACAAATACGGTTACCAAAGCACTTTATTTATTACGGTTAAGACAATCTCTCTTTTAGAGTTGCGTTTTCCATTCGAATCGGTGTTAATTGCATTCGCCACACTTTGCATTCCGTTATGCACATGTGCTGGTATCGCGCCGCATAAACATGAAAAATTAAATAGTAAAGAACCTGTAAAAGATGGAGTCTATGAGCCAGGAGATGCAAATCATTTTGATAATGGGGAGCGTAAAGCTGGCTTCGATCACGAAGCTATCATACGCGATTTCAATATCATTAGCTCTTTTTGTTTTGTTTTTGTAAGACTTTGCAAATCAATGAAAGCTTGTTTGCTCGATGTAAAATATACTCGCACAAGTGGCTAAGTTGTAAGATAATAATGCTTTTGAGTGAACTTGGTGATCGTAGTCGCTGTGTTTGGCCATATAAGAGTGTTAATATTAATATGGCTGAATATTGGATGTCTAATTGTAAAAATGTTAAGGATAAGAATTAATAATCCTTAACGATCGGTCGGTACCTAATGGTTTTTTATTATAATGTCCAAAGTGTTCGTGTAGGACAAGCGCCAGAATAAATAGTCAATTTTGTCAATTTATTAACTTCACTGAGTAAAGTAAATGATTCATAATTTGTAAGGTGCAAAGTATCCGTAAAGTGTAAGTGTCAGAATATATAACGAATTTTGGTGACTACAAAAATAAGTGGTATTAAAAATAAACGCGTGTAGACTCGGTTGATAGTGGAAGGTCAAGAGATATAAATTCGGTTGAAAGGGCCTGTGAATCGCCGGAGAGCGAGTTTCGGCAGATAAATTGGTTGTTAACAACATTTTGGAAATAACGAACCTGTTAGACGACTGACAATTCTCACATTGCATACGAGTTGGAGTATCAGTTATCTTCCTTTTACCATTTACGAACTTGTGGAAGCTCTTAAGATCCGTTAACAATTTATCCATAATTGGTTGGGAACTTTTCACAACTACAATGCAGCAAAAAGCCTTGAAATTATATAGTAGGCTATGTTTATTTTCACACCATTCAAAAAAAAAAGTTTTTTTTGGATTCTTAGCCTTAAAGCCTTAAAGTTTGCTCAAAAAAAATGTTTAGTTTGCAGTTAACAAGAAAATGTTCATGCATATAATAGTTAGGTATACATATAAAAAATATACATATATAAATTACATAAATATAAAGATTATCTTAAAAATAGGTTTTATCAATTTATACTTTTGCTTGTATATTTTTCAAAAAGAAATGCTTCAAATTAATTGATTTCGTCTGTTGTGTACCAAACTCTGTTGAATACATCCATGAAAGAATCATAAATCATAAAAGTGAAAGCAACATCCAGGCAGACACGACTTAGGCGCGGTACAGTACCTTTATAGAAGGCGGAAATGCCTTCGTTATGCCAAATTTTTAAAGCGCAATTGGCTGTACTATGGTATTTAGCTGCTTCTAATCCCTGCATGCGTGTTTTAATTACGTCCAGGGGAGTATTGCACAAAACCGAAGCAGCGCCAGCTATAAAACCGAAAGCTCCTACTAATAATTTAGGAACCGGTTTTTGGGGATTTTTAGCCTTGTATGAATCCTTAAGCGATTCCACAACAAAGAAACGTATAGCCTGATTGGAACCTTGTTTTAGGATAGTAGCTGTCACTCCTTTGTAAATTCCACCGATGCCTTTTTGGAAAAAACGCTCTGAATGACTGGCAAATGACTCTTTGTAATATATCGAAAAATGGATACTTACCGTCGTTACAAATAATACGTCCAACGCCATGAAAAAACCCTTTAAATTGAGGCTTCGCTGTACGTTGGTCATTAATGAATTTGACTTTGATAGTCTCCATAGGTGTTACGGCAATCACAGCTTCGCATATGCCCGCACCTAAGCCGCATAGTAATTTAGAGAAAATACTTAATTGACCATTATCAGCCATGTGGTCTTTTAGAGTTTCAAAGGCTCCAAATCTTGAATATAGGAAATAACGACATTGTAACAAATGTTTGGCGACAAAATGACACAACATTACCTGCTGGCCGTCTTCGGTATGCTGCCGTATAATAAAACGCTCAAGCCTCGATAGAGACCAAAGAAACCTCTTTGAATAACAGTCTTTCTTATACAATCCGTAACACCGCTATATCTTTTACGATCACCTAGATATATGTTATACTTATGAGTCACTTATTATGCCTATATAAAGGGAATATTCACCTTTTTCGTCCAACTGCAACTGAGTCTTAATGTACTCGGTGGGGTAAGTTATGCAAATCTCAATGCCACCTGTTATGCCACCCGCTAAAATGCCTTTTAAACCTTTATTGCCGCCTTCCGCTGCAGCTGCTCCTTGCTGCATCAGCCAAGGTCTTTGAAAAAAGGGCATTGGTATTGGCTTAGCCATAGCTGAAAAACGATTCAATAGAATCAACTGAGGAAATATAAATGTTGCTTGCATCTTCTTTCATCTTCTATAGCATGCTTTTAGGGATCAAATATTCATTCTTATCTCGTTTTAATTTAAATCTATAAATAACGTCCACTCTGTAAAGTGGTTTATTACGGCATACGCACTCACTCCATGTTAACTTTTACTTCCTTCTAAGCATAGTTAAGGAAAAATCGATAAAGTCATGACAGTTTAATAGCAAAACAGCTAATCATGAATGAAAACCTTAAGGATATCTTTATGAACTACATAAATATTCTCTTTATGTTTTTTCTTTTTGTTAAATGAACGTAACTAAAGAAAACAAAACAAATTTACATGAAACCTCTTTAGACGGAAGCCGGTAAACCTTGTAACACAACTGCCAACTGATAAAAAATTTTTGTACACGTCGAACACACAAGAAAAACTATTTATTTAACTTTGCCCGTTTTCCATAAATACTTTCAAATACGTTTATGTATTTGTCGCTCCGTCTCTCGCGCATAGCATAATTAGCTTAAGAGTTTCCCTACTTTTCTACGCTCAGTGCTTGTACTCATTTATAGCAGCGAAAAAAATTTTTGGAAAGACCCCCTTTGCGCTATCAATGGTAATAATATTTTACAGCGTAACTTATTACGAATTGCAATATTATCAATGCCAAGGTGTTAAGGGTGCTCGCGAACTGAACCAAAAAAAAAACTAAAACATCAGAAATGTGATGTCCTAATTAGCTACGCTTGCAGAGAAGAATTCATGAACAAATGAGATCTGTTACCGAGTTTCGTTGCGGGAGGAAACGCTTGAAACACATAATTTCCTTTCTAACGTACTTGCAAACTTTTTTGAAAAATCCTTATTCGTTTAGGGTTCTTGTATTAGCTGGTCACTACCTTTGTGAAATCAAACAGTTCGGTATTTGCCATTTTCTGGGGAATGGGTCACATTCGATGTTGAAACCGTACCATACCAAATATGCAGATTTTTAAAAGGAAGAGATTTTACAGACCGACAAAAATTACAACGCAGACACGCCATACCTATACAACTCCAAAATTGAAAGTTTTGAAGTATACCTGTACCAATATGAAATGTACGCAGCAGAATGAATATGAAAAACGAACATAAATTAGTTATTTTGAAACTGGTTTTTGATCAGATTATGGAGAAAACGAACGATTGGTTGACTATGACTGCATATATATAAACATGTTTCAAATCTTCGCACACCATGGCTACTGAATGGACATCATAAGCACTATATATTTGTTTATTATTTTTTTCCTCAACTCCATAACATAGGCAATAATTGTTCTTCGATTTTTTTTTCATAAATATCATAAAGTATAATAATGTTTGCAAAACGAAAGCTGGATATCTTTCTATGAAAATAAATAAAAGCACAGGAAAATTCTCCCCCTAAACGTTTTTTGAAATTGTAAATTTTTTTTTGCTAATGATGATCATGATTTCCGTCCTAATACAATGTTTTATCCGGCATTTTTACATGGTGTTGCCTCCATATTACTTTCCAACGGACTTTACCTGCCCCCTTTAAAATCATGTTTTCGACAGAAAAACAAGTAAGTATAACTTATCAGGCCAATGGAGAGTTTAAGGGCTATTTACATTTTTTATTTTTTTGGATATGGAGTACGCATTAACTATGCAAATATTCGCGGAAAACTTTCTTTCTCTTTTCTTGCGCTTTTGCAACATACTTTGGATTTCTGCGGATGCTAATTTTTTACTACAACTTTTTAAACCTTGTTGAGAGCCAGTGAATAATTTAGCTGCTTCTTTCTGCTGCATAAGAGAACATTTCTCACGTCTTTTCTGCACGCACAGAGCAAACAAACTCGATAACCAATACACTTCCTATAATAATACACGTTGGAAATGGCATTTCACGACATTCATACTGTAAATAAAGTATAAATCCAGCTGAAGGAAGATGTTATGGACATTGTGGTACATTGGATTAGTGAATACGTACATTGTGTGCAATTAATCCGCCAATTGGCTATAATCGTCGCAAATATCCCTTGACTAGAAATGATTTGCAACACTTGAAGTACAGAGATGCCAATATATATAAAATAGCAAGTCGAGAGGCCTATGGAGGATAGAAAGATTGCCGGTTACGCTAAATGTGCTGGTAATCTTATTGAAATTATGGTGCGCAAGCTGGTCGGCGTTTTGGCACCTGCTACTCTCTAACGACCGAGTTCAACTCTCAGCTACAGCTTCACAATACTTTTTTTTAATTTGATGATTAAAGAAAAATTTTTTGCTTACAATCGATGCAATATATTTCTTTTTTACATCGTGCATTGCAATCGAAACTTAAAGATATGGCGGATAATAAAGATAAAATGCATAAAATATATTTCCTCGCAGTCATGGTTAAAAAAATCTTACCACATTATGCATGAATTTTGATTGGCTTAATTTCCACAGCATGGCAGTATACAACAGAAACAAAATGCACCTTTTATTTATTTCGGTATTTATTTTAAGAATTGAAAAAAGAAAAATAGAAAACTATAAAGTTTTCTTATTTATCCATACTTGATCCAAAATTCGCTTCTTATGGAGACTGGGTATAATCTTATAACTACTGATAGGGAGAAATGGATAAACGGCTACGTGTGGTGTTCTTAAACAGATATATTGATCAGAAAGACGCTCTAGACCATAACACTGTACTCAACGATTCGTCAATGCATAAAACAATTTAATTAATCTAAAATTTTGAATAAATATTGCAATTCCAATACACTCTTTCTTTAACTTCCAACATATTTCATTTTTAGCATAATTATCATAATCGATGTAATTTTCTTTATTAGCGGTTTGTGAGACATGAACGGTTAACAAACGGTATTTGTGGAACATGAACGGTTTCTAGACGGTATTGGTTTGGTTATTAGCTAATGCTTTATGTGAAATTCAAAAAGAAACAAAAGCAATCATTCAATCATTCTTTTATATACATTTTGTTTTTATACAGATTTATTTAATATAAAATGAAAATAATTTTTTCTAATCTTTTATTGGAACATTATACTTCTTTAATTGGATATTTTCTCAAGGTAATTGAATAATCAATATTTTTTAAGTGCAAATTAGATGTTAATTTAACTACAACCTTCTATTTCACCCACCGTAGAAGCTTTTATCATAAAATTAGTTGTATTTGATTTTTACTACGTAATCTCGAGAAATCTTCGTGAGCTCCGCAGTGCTTTCTTATGTTTTCGAATATTGTTTCCAGGACATACTGGCTAAATTTTCGAAATAACATATTTCCTTGTTCGATTCAAGAAACTATTAACAGAATCTGTGGCCATGCAAATAATGAAATTGAAAGAGCAACATGTCAGAGTGCTGTTAATTAACACTGTTACTACTGTTACTCATAGCAGAAAAAGGCCGTATTAATCTCCCTATTTGAATTTTGTATTAAATTTCGAACCATCTGCATATTTTTGTTGTCTCCGGTAATATGCGTATTATTTTATGTTAGCCTGAAAGTATGGCACACAATCGTAATAAATAAAAGTCCTACGTAATAATTGCGTACTCTCGAATTTTTTCATTATAAATATCGAATTCCAAGTAGAATATTTGCGTTGCTATATCAATGGTGGGCGACTTGCATTCCACTGGAATAAAAAGACTGCTTTTATTTATGTATTTCAACTAAACTCATCTTTATTTCATTTCATAAACTTCTCTTTAAATGCAAATTTTCAATTGTGTAAAAAAAAAATTTCTCCCGAACTTAGAAGTGTTCAATGGGGAAAGAAACAAGTTAAATAATGTTTTACATTCAGCTTTAAATATCTTATACATATGCGAAAAACAGAGCAAAAGAGCATAATGCTGTTATAGAAAATAACAACCACAAGTATAGGAAAGGAATAAATGGATTTAATAAATTTCAGTCAACGAACAGCCATTTCTCCAGGATTACTACTATTGAAATATTGGCAGGCAATATATAATCGGATATTTGGTTATAAAAAAAAAAAAAAAAAAAAAAACTAGCTACGTATTTAGATCGCTTTGTACACACGGACCGATTTAATGTCTCCAAGGGTAAGCGTCTGTGGATTAGAAAAGTAATTAAGAAAAAATCACACTTTTAAGCCATTTTCATAACATATTGAACACTTACAGTAATTAACTCATCTTCTTTAAATTCGCGTATTATTTTGGAAGGCTTATCACCTTTCTGCTCTTGTATTAATGTATTGCCGTCCATAGTGCAAATAGATTTAACTTTGCGACCATCCAAGGTCTCCTCATCGAATTCCTCGCCCAATTTAAACGTAATGGTCGAGGTTTTAAAGGTCGATGAGGTAGTTAGTGAATATTTTTCACCATCTAGCTTCAATTCAACGGTAGGACTAACGGAGTTGCCCATCTTGCGTAAAACCATGCCGACACCTTCAAATAAAAATATTAATGAAAACAGTTAAAACGTTTAAAATGAATGAAAAGAAATTCAAGGTTAAACTTGGCAAAAAAACACATTTTCCACAGATATATGATATTTCTATAGTTAACTGAACGAATAGTAATTAAACTGAAAACCACAATTTATGACAATCTTTTTGTTTTTTTATTCTTTACACTACATTATATATTAGATTACAAACTGTGGTTAAACAAACGCAAAAACATAATCTTACAAAAAATTATACCTTTCCGCCCCACCTCTAAATCTTCCACGTGGTTAATTTACGTAAAAGATATTCAAGATAGCACTCTAAGTGCAGTCTAAGCAACGTTGACAGTAATAATTGAAACAGGTCTAGTTGGACTCGATTAGTTCACTTCCTTTTATCCTTTGTGGGAAAATCAAAATTGAAACACGAGCTCAAAATCGAATCTTTCAGTAACATTTGCGAACTATCGATATTTTGTTTAAGAAGTGGCTGATTCAAAGTAATTTTATATGTGTTAGGTTGAACTTTGCCTAAGCTTCGACTGAAATTGCTTCGACAAGCGAAAAATTAAATTAAAATAACCAACAAAGTTCCCCTGCCCCTTCCAGCGTGGAATGAAGAAAAGTACGGCTAGATGGCTGAATACCTTTCGTTCTTGGGAAGTGTGAGAATTTGTGATGCATTTTGGAAATAAATTCACAAAATTGTATTTCTGGATTATATAGTTTCAACTAAACGCTGCAGTTCATAAGAGGGCCAGCTAAAGAGACAAATATTGAGAAAAAGTTAGTTCACAAATAAATCTATAGGGAGATAAGTTTCTTAAACTAAAGTCTCTACTCGTGCATATCATAGTGGAAGAATACAACTGATATGTGTGCCTGAACGTTTAAGAACAGCTCTCAAAGGAAGATAAAATCAAATTCAATTTAATTTAATTAAGGAAACATTTTGATTTCAACGCCTTCTTTTTTACATTTTGACACATTTAATTGTATCAAATTACAATAAGAAGAAAAATAATAAATCAAATAAATTGCATATTGTCTGCACGACCCCCTCCCTCCTTCCTTTTAATCACTCCTATTCATCGCAAAGACTACACTTGAAAGGAATTTTTTTTTATTGTTGATTTCCTCTAACTATTATAATAAATATCATTCATAACGTGATCGCAAAAAACTTCAGTTTGACGGTTTTGCTTACATGCATAACAAATTCCTAAGCCACTGCCGTTATTCAGATATTTATGGATACGTTTGTGTGCTCTTTGCATTTCTATAAACCCATTATGCAAACATATTTGCATTAAACAATGCGGTGAATATGCACTAATGGGGCAAAATGACCTCCCCGCATAAGCGTATTAAAGCTTTAGAAATCTTCATTATTTTTTTTTGCGAAAAAACTGCAGCATATACGACGACATCGTTCTAAAATTAATAACAAAACACACAAAAAATTTCCTCAGATAATTGACAACATGACTAATAGAAGGCTTGGCCAAATATCACCATTACTTATTACATCCACTCGATAAGTCGCAAACAGGAAGGAGGAAAGGCTCTTGATTTTATTATTATTATTATTAATTTCGCCAGAGAAATAAATTCTAAGACTAAACTCTTAAAAGCACTAGCATCTAAGGCTATCGGCTTTTGATCTTATAAGCAATTGCCTCACAAGTAAGAAGATAATACTCGGCTGTGGCTGAATCCTTTATATCTACGATCCTTTTCTTTAGAGAATCTCAAAGAAAAAAAAAAGAACAGATACTACACTTTGATCTTAGCCATAAAGGCCAAGAAGCGATAAGAAAAAAAATGAAATTTCTGTATTCTGTAATATTGGATAGGCGTGGTCGAAAATAAAATTTTTTTGCTGCACTATGAGCGCGGCGATTACAAAATTCTATAAGAAAAGTTGCAAATTTATATTTTTTTAAAATTTCATTAAAAATTTTATCAAAAAATTTCATACAGCAGGATGAAACGTGTGCCATAGGAACATAAGCAAAAGCTTTTGTTTCATAGAGTGATTTCCACCGTTAACGGTATTATAAACTTTTCGACTTGAGCCTTTATTATTTGTTTAAGATAAAGTTGACACTTTCAACAGCTGGCAACAAAAAGCGGAATCAAAAAGTGGCATCGGAATGTCTAGCATTTGTTTGTAGTCGATTTACCACATGAGCTGCAGGAGTTTGACTAAGTTTCTAATAATTCTAAAATATTGATTTGATTGACCCTAGAAGCAAGGCCCCATTATCTGAATCAATGCGGCAAATTTTTGGCTGATTTCACATGCTGGTTATACCGATCTTCTTGCTTTTAAACTTTTTTACCAGATTTGAAATCGATATCTTCATTTTTGAGACCAGTCCACATGGACAGACTAAAAACCAAACATGTCCAGATCGACTTTCTCCTTGATAATGAAAAATATATATTCTTTATATCGTTTCTGAAGCCTCGTTTATGTTGCAGACGTTTTCATGAACGAATGAAATTTCTACTGATACTCTATAATATAGTGTCGCCGTGGCCAATTGTAGCCATTTTTCTGCTTGTAAAGAGGAAAAGCACATTTTTTCTCACTTTACGTTGACTTAAACAATTCTTAATACTATATCATGCATGCATGAATTTCTGACATGTGTGGCGACTTTGAAGCCGATATCTTTATTTTTGCATTCAGGGGAATGTTTATCGTAGAATAAACTTAATACAAATATTTTCAGATTATATACTCTAGTATTTTAGCTATGACGGCAGTGAAGTTTCAAAAATTTGAAAATCGAAGAAACTCTGTGCATGGATAGTCTCGTCCGTCCGGGTATATAATCTATACGTTCTTTTCAAAGGTAAAAAAATGGATAATAAACAATCTACATTTTTATTAAAAGTGAAGCTCACATAAATTTTATGTGAAAAAGTGGGTAAAGTAAGTAAGTAAGTAAGTAAGTAAAGTAAAATATTACCACGATTCTGGCCAGAAATAGCCGATTCATCTTAGCATTTCGAGAAATTATTCGCTCACATATCGAGCAAAATTTTACTGATAAACACTATACTGGACCACGGCCTGCTACTAACTATACCGCATCACTTCGCTTAATACAGTTATTTATAAAATGACCTTTTGAAACAAAGTCTTATGTGTGAAATGTTTGAAAACGTTGTCCAGTCCAAATTATTTTCAATAGCATTCGTCCTTCGTCCGAATTCCGTCGTAATGTCCCAAAAAGTGCGACTTGTTTGACCAAAGGAAAACAAGACCGCCTGATGTGCAGACAATCTTAAATCGATTCAGAGATTGAATCTTAAAAAGGCGATCTACCTTAGATCCTTTTTACATGCATTCCTACAAACTTAATAATAATAATAATCAATATATCCGCGTACCATATATTGTGTAAGCTACAAAGCAACCAAGAAACCCGCTTAAGACATATTTTGGAACTTACTTCGCAGAATTGAATGGATAATATACGCGCATAGTTTTTTTACTATTTTTTTTTTAATAATTGTATTGACTTTCAATGGTGACCTACAATCATTTCATTCTATCAAGGCACCAATTCTGACAAAACTCGCACTCGTATATTTGCATGTATGGTTGTGTGTGACTAAGCGAATTGAAAATTCAGCATTGTCTAATTCCCCGCACATAACCCGCGTTAGTGATTGCAATATACGCATTTAAGTCTTAAGAAACTTGGATTATAAAATGAATAACTGAATTAAACAACGATAAATGGAACTAAAAAAGTATAAAGAAGACAAGAGGAGTGTTGTTGAATCGGACTTCCATCCGTAAGAAACTTTCGAGAAGTTTGCTTCATGACACGTAATTATAGTGCGATTGCATTGAGAGTATTGAAAAGAAATGTAATGCGTAAGTTTTTGGACAACTTGTTGAGACCGTAATCCTGGTTTCAATGCATGGACAACGCATGACCGATGCGAATTTGAAAACCACCTTTGCCATTCGCTCTTGACAATCACGTTTCTTTGCGTAGCGAGCGTGCGACCAGTAAAACATGTTCGCTTTCTTAAAGACTGAATAAAAAATTTACAAGTTGATTTAATTTTACAGCTTTTTTAAACATGTCTTCCTGTCTATTAATTAATAGTTATGGGGAACTATTAACTATTAACGTTTTACTATTAAATGTTTCAAGATAATAATAGAATGAAAACACAAGGCTGAGGAAGAATTTTTTCCCATCACTGTGCGCTTATGAACACTAGCACACGCTAGTGTTCATATCATATGACTTCTCTCGTCAAAATTGATTAAATAAATTAAGTTTTGATCTTATGCTTTTGATGCCCAACATATCCAACAGCCAACACACAGCGATGGTCAACTTCATTGTAAATAAATGTAAATACAATGTGTGTGTGTGTGTGTGTGTGTGTGTGTACCCATAGGAGAATAGTAAGTAAGTGGGTATAATGAAATTATATTATATCACGTGATCTTTGCATTTCAGTTATGAACTATCTGCCCACTCTTGTCACCCCCTGACATTGCTATAATACTGATTTGTTGTCTCGTTTCCTTGTCAATAAAGGTGGGAACCGAAAAAAAAAATAAATAAATAAAGAAAAGAACTTAAATTAGTCACTTATCATGATGCCATTGATCATCAGTGAGTTCTTTACAGTCATCTTAATTGAATTTAAAAGACTTTCAATTGCCTGAAGTTGATATAATGTTTTGTTCTTCTTTTTCTAGACAAGATTGAAGAAAATTTGTGTTAATGTATCGGAATGAGTGCAAAATCTTTTTGCAGCGTCTTTTAAGTGTTGGTTTTTTCTTTCTTTTTTTGCTTGCTTCAATTTAAGAAAATATAGCACATACGAGCCGAGGCAAAAGGTTCTTATCAGCGTATTTTAGCTAAAGAAAATAATCATAAAAATTTGCGCACATACACACGCAGACACACATATCCCATTAGTGTCATTAATTATCGCTTTTTCGGATTTGTTTCGATTTTGCGAAAACAATACCCTACGACAGGTCATAAAAAATATTTAAAATAAATATTGAAATATAGATAAGAAAGTTTTAAACTGTTTGTTTGTGTATGTATATACGTATGAACGATAAAAAATTTTCTATCATAAACCGATATTTTCACTAAGTTTAAGACCCCTGAATCCATATCTTTCTTTTTTTTACACTACGTTTACCACATTTAATGTTTGAAGTTTATAACTTAATGTTAATAAATAAAATAAATAAGTAAATAAAACCTTCGTCTTGCAATTATTTATTCGAAATATTAAAGTTCAAGTGTATTATAAAGAATTGAAGATATGAAACCAACAAGACGTAAATGAAGTCCCTAAATACAAAGTCCATGGGAAAGAATTTTATCTTCGATTGAAACGAAAATTTTTTAATATTTATACCACTTACTTTTTACAAAACTCGTTTAAAAAATGTACGCCATCATCAATAAAATAAATAATATGTACACGTAATACTTTGATGTTTGACATAGTATTACTAACCGGTTAAAACAAAATACAACGTTGGCCCCCTTAAATACTTACTACTGTACTTCATAATGGAACACCCAAAATATTTAATAAAATTATTACACATCTAGGGTAGAGTTATTCACTCATACTGATCTATTTGCTTTAAATTAATTAATTGATTAATTATTAAAAGTGATGGTTAAAGCTTTGCCATCTAACTTTGACGAACTAATAACGTACGTCGAAAGCAATGTATTGGATACGGATAAGAAGCACAAGCCTAATCCGCAAGTTGAGGAAGCAAAAGTTTAAAGGGGAAAAAAATCTACATCTTAAGTTATTCTGTGCATAGAGAACTCTTCGCGGACAATCTAGCATAAATTTGCACGATGCATAATATTGAATAAGCATGGCTGACTTTCTTCCATTTTTGTAGAATAATTTTGTGGAAATTCATATCGTGGGTCTATTGTAGTTTATGAGCAACGAACAAAAGGCGCGGAAAGCAAAGCTGTCCTCAGCTTTGATTGTATAGATGTGTAGGTGTGTTAAAGGCGCGTTTTTTGATCTGTTTCGTACATTTTTTCATCTTCTTCTTTTTTTGAAGCTTGCTTCTGAGCGTTAGAAAAGCATTGAAAAAAGATTTATATGTTGATGCACCATAATATTGGGTAGGCGTGGTCAGTTTTTCTTATTTTTGTACAGCTACTAAAGCCTCGCCCATAGGATATACGTTCAAATTTTTCTGCTATAATTTATGAGGGGTGAACAAAACACCAACTTTTTATTACTTTTGAAAAATAAAAAACATTTTTGTCAAGGGAATCTCCAATAAGTTAGACTCATGCAGCCGATTAACACAGTTTCGAAATGCTTCTACAGATTAATTTTAAAATAGATAGACATGAACAATAGCTTACTAAAGAGGGAAAATATTGGCTTTCAGATCACTACGTTTGAGTTTCAAATAAATTTCTAGCAATTAGGAAGAAAACATGTACATTAAACAAAACTTTGCTAAGATAAATTTTGCATCAGTTATTTGGATAAATGCAACATTCAATACCGTTACCCATCGGCTTTTCCTATATGCGTTCCACTTCCAAGCTTTTATAAGATATACTATTTAAATGAATGAATCGATTTCTACGCCCATCAACGACATATGGATAAAGTTTTAGAGTTGTGTTACTTCTCTTGCAATTTTTGATTATGGTGATACCATAATGTACTTAATCCCTTCGTGAAGTTGTTTAACACAAATCAATAGGCTTTTTAGGCTTTCAAAATGTATTTAGGGTTTCAAATGTATTTTATCCTTAGGCCCATCTTTCTTTGCAACACTTTATACACATTTTTTATTTGATATAAATTCTGGTACATCGATTTAGCTGGTCGCACGTCGGTAGGTTAATAATACCAATAATTCCAAAACCCACTCCCACTCAAGTCCATGATTCTGCTTTTTTATTTATTTTCCAATTCTTTACGTTAGGATATCTTCAACTAAACGTTTTTACGACTTGTAGTCTCTTTTTTAGCTGTCATTGCCATGTGTATCTGCAAAATAATTGCAAACCTCCCATGTACAGTCTTGTTTCTATGCTATTGTCAACAATTACATTTTCTGATGAGTTCGTTTATTTTTATTAAAAAAATGTTCAATATAGAACTTGAAGTAAATGCACTTTGGAATTTTCGACACGCGTTGAATCTAATATACTAAGCAATGCAAAGCAAAATCAACGACCCCATTACTTTTCACTACAATTATTTTAATAACTATCACTTTTTTACTTAACTATCACTATTTTAATAACATCACACTATACGGATTATCACTTGACTGAGAATATTAGTTGATCTAACACAACGACCACCACGGATCATATACTCATAACTTAAAATCCTACGAATATTAAATGTGACTACGGGAAAACATATCATAAAAGTTAAATGGAGCTAATTGTACACAGACTGCCTTTGGCCGAACTTTTTCTAACATATATTTGAGCCAATTAGAAAAAAGGTAATTAGTCCCAAACGCCAAAAAACGTATATGAATCGACGGGATCAAACGAATACGAAATAATTTTCAAATTAACCTTTCAAAATAAAAGAAAATAAAAGAAAATTGCTTTCTACTTTTCTTTGAATCAAAACTTTGCAAAATTATACCAATTGTTATCAAAAAAAGAAAAAAAAACTGGACGAAAATTTTAAACAGGTTTTTCTTTAAACGAAATATTTATGTAAAAATGAAAAAAAGATAAAAGCCGGCCGGCATTTAGTTCTAGTGTTTCTTATAAATTTAAAATTGTAAAATATAAAGCAAGCTGTACCTGGAAATTTAAGACGTCTCATGCGCGAACTTTAGATTTCGCAAATATGATGAAGCAAGGGTCAAGACAATCGATATAAAAAAAGGAAACTATGACACACGCTTTTGTTCTCGACGTATCTGCAATTCTAGCAATTGTATATCTTGCGGTTTGTATTTTTTATTTTTTTCGTTTAAAAAATATAGCAGCGGTATAACGGTTGATAATTGTTCATAGTCTTTTATCGGAAAGATGAAATGCTTAAACTTACCTAATTCTTTCATGTATTCATCAAAGTTTTCGCTTTTTTCTAATTTATATTTTTTTCCTTCCCAGCAACTAGTCATCTTTTTAATAAATTCTATATAATTCCGAATAAAATTGAATGCAAAAAATACTTCTCGCCAACACTAACAACACTAGAAAAGTAAAACAGAAAAAGTCTTTTTTATACCAAAGTCTTTTTGTTATTGTAAAATTTTGTTTGCTCTGAGAGAGATTTCCTTGATTATACCAAACACACCTCAATAAAGTCTTTCTGTTATTTTTTCACCATACCAAAGCCGTTTCTTGTTGCTCTGAGAGAATCACCACAATCAATTTTGCCGCTAAACAAATCCCTTTTTATATCAAAAACTGCTCAGTTCTCTTCGCATAGAATATGACAGAGATGTTATGACATTCAAAATCGCACAATGAATTTTAAACATTTCTTCATAACACTCGCAGGAAAATAGTTTTAAGCCATAACACCAAATCCAATAAAAAAATATCTTGTTATTGTAAGAAATAGAATTTTAACTAAACTGTTTATACGGAGAACACATATTATTATAAAATGTAAAACAAATATGATAAACTCTATAAAAATTTAAAAAATATAATAATCATTTACTCTGGAAATATCGTAAACGTGTCGTATTAAATAGAAAATCTTACAGGACAAAATGACACCCTGTTTGCTAACTCAATTTTTGTTGTTATTAGAACGTGCACACAATATTATTTTGCTTTATCTTCCAATTATACCTTATCTTTGTATTCGCATCCCGTGTTTACTTTTTTTTCTTAACACAGATTGACATTTGTATTCCAGTTTTAGTAAAAGCTAAGATTGTTTTTTTAAATTTTTTCTTCTTAATAAGTAAATATTAATTGCTGACGAAAAAGAAACTCTCGCGGATAAAAATACACAATGGCAGATGATACGAACGAAGATAGTTGGTTGTATGGCACATCAAATCCCGATTCGACAACAAATGAAGAAGAACGTGCTGGCGAAACAGTAGCTACTGCTGCCTCGGTGATTGGTAAGGCAGAGAACGAGGCTTTAGCTGCCGTCCAAGGTGGCGATGTTAGTAATGACAATGTGGATAATGAGCAAGATCAAGAGGAAGAAGAGGCGGATATGGCTGAATTTGAAGATCCTGCTCATGAAATGGAGGAAGATGAAGAAGCAGTGGCCGCTACTACCGCTACTACTACTACTACTGATGAAGTGAAAGCGGAGGAGGATCAAGTAGTTCATTTTTACATTTATGTGTATGAACCTTTTTTTATGAATGTGTTTAATAGGAAAAAACAGGCGCCGGCTCGGATGATGATGTGGATGATGATGATGATTCAGATGATGATATTAATGTAGTCATCGGTGACACTAAAGCTGCTGCTAGCACTTATAATATCAAGCAACGTTCTAATTTATTGGCTGGTCCACCTGGTCAAGAGAAAACTAAACCCGTCCCTCAAGGCGGTAAATTTTCAATGGAAGATTTTGAAGGCGTTGGCTCTATAAATGGTGTTGCAGCGCATGAGTTTAGTATAGATTCACTAGAAGAGAAGCCTTGGCGAAAACCCGGAGCTGATATAACAGATTATTTTAATTATGGCTTTAATGAGGAAACATGGCGAGCTTATTGTGAAAGACAAAAACGATTTCGCGTTGTGGAAAGTGGTGTTGGTTTGGCAAGTTTAACTCAAAATCTTAATCCACTGCCCGACAGACAACAATTATTGCAAGAGCCACCACCCGTCGGACTGCAGCAAAGCATTATACAGCAGGGATCTGCACCACCAGGTCCTTTAAACGAGCATATCCCAATGCCACTGCCAAGTTTAATGCCTCCGCCCAGTCCACATCAAGGACCTCCGTCTAGGTTTGGTATAATGCCTCGTGTTCCCAGACCTATTAGTACAACTAGCACAAAAGAGAATGCTATTCAGGTAATGACTGCTGAATGCCGCGAATATTCACGACCGGGGCAAATGCCACTGAATTTTAATGGCCCTGGCCCGGCAGATGATCCTTTTTATCAAGAGCCCGATCCATTTGATTATGGCTATGAACCCACTCAAGAATCACAGTGGGGCAACGAAAATCCTAATTGGGTTCCCACTGGCATAAAAGAGCTAACCCCTGGTCCCAACGTTATACCGCCACCGCAAATGTCAGGACCACCGGGTGTTCCGCCGAATCAAATGAATGTTACTCCTACGCAAATGAGTGGTCCCCCTCCACAGATGCGTCCACCACATCCGCAAGCAATGATGCCAAACATGGTCATGCCCAATATGAATATGGGCCCACCGCCTCCGATGGGAATGATGATGGGTCCAGGAAATGGTCCGCCTATGCGAATGCCTCCTATGGGTCCGCCACGTCTTATGGCTCCTAACGGTCCTCCGGATAGAGCAGAAGAAGAAAGAGATAGACGTCGTCGTGAAAGAGATTGGGAACGCGAAAAAGAACGGGAACGTGAAAGGTAAGCAGTATTTAGACACAAAAATTTGTATTTTTAATGTTAAACGCGTATTTTCGTATATAAGTCTAAGGTCAAGACGTGAACGTTCGAGAAGCCGTGAGAAATCTCGGAGGCGGTCCAAATCGAGAGAGAAAGAAAGGGACAAAGATAGAGACAAGGAACGGAATGATAAAGATAGAGAACGTGAGCGCGAACGGGATAGAGATAGAGATCGAGAACGCGAGAGAGATAGAGATAGAAATGAGAAAATTGATGTAAGTACAAACGTTATTTCCATATTATCATATATCTACTTTATTTGCACCCAAAGGACAATGAGCGCTCTGAAGAAGAGAGGGAACGACGACGAAGAGAACGTGATCGTGAAAGAGAAAGAGAGAGAGAAAGGTAAATGTTGGATTATTCAGGTATAAATTTATACTAACGTTAGCCGTCGTAGATCAAGACGCGAGCGTTCTAGAAGTCGCGAGAAATCACGGCGTCGTTCAAAATCGCGTGAAAAAGAACGTGAACGCTCTAGTAAGACGACATCATCATCTTCTAGTCGGAGTGATAAGAAAAAATCGCATCGTAAAGAAGACGAAGAATAAAGTTAGTGTATATAAACATTTGAAATAAAGTAAGAACTTCGTTCAAAAACGTAGGAAAGCATAAAATATATGAGATTGCACAAAATATAAATATATAAATGTTTTTAAAAAGTGTACTATACAGTGAGCTGATAAAGTGGATGTGAAAAAAAGAAACGCCAGGAAAAGTTTTTGTTTATTCAAAAATATAGAAAATGCTATGGAAAGTTGGCAATGCAAGATCATGTCATTTTTAGCATTTTTCTAAATTGTACTTGATAAAAGCAGGGTGCAAAACAAGTCGAGCTAAAAATACCATTTCCTGCCGTAAAGCAACTATTAAACAAGACGGAGGCATGAAAATATCGAAATTTGTTTTTACCTTCCAGCTCATCATTTTACACACAGAATAATAGAGAAAAAGTTTCTAAAAACATTACTTAAAAAACAATAAACAAAAAGAAACAGTAATTTTAAAAAATAACGACTTATTGATTTTCTTTGCTTTTACTTCATAGCTATTTTTCTTTTTTTAATAATAAATAATTTAAAGTGGATCTAAATAGTATTACTATATGCTATTATTACATTAACATTAGAACTACCAAGTATGTATTTTTGAACCTTTTTAGCTTTCATCTTCAAAAAAGCGGTTATAAACCATATAACATTCCGACATCGTTTGGTGATTTTTGGTAATATCGAGAGACCTTTACATAACTATAATCACTGTTTTCTTACGTGGCCTAGCTTCCGAGATAGCGATGACATACACCAATAGTTGTTTAATGAGCGAATTTCGAATTCTGGCAAATTAAAGGAGAAGAATTACCACTTGTTGCAATGTATTTGAACTTCGAATTTTGTTACTTTAGAGCGTAAGTGAATGAGTTTTCTAGCTAACGTGGTATGTTTTTTTATTTAACCTTTTTAGTTTATTTTTGTTTCAAGTTGAGAACAACTACTCAATTCATTCCAGATTAAGTTCGCAGGAAAGGTTTATGAGGGTTGTTCCAACGACGAAATATTCGTGAAAAAGTGGACTTTTTGCTCATAATTGACAAACCCTAAGAGATAAATGTGCAGAGCATTTAACGCATTTTCTGCCTGTGACGCTGTAGCACCTATATGAAAATGGAAGAAATGGACCACGCCTATACAATATTGTAATGTATCAAAATTTAATTTTTGCTACGCGCTTAAACAAGCTACCATAATTCCACAGAGTATATAAATTGTAGGCCAGTTTCAAATTCGGAAAGCACTTAAGCATGCTCTTCCATTCATCACGATGGATGTGTCTTCCTTTTCTCTTTAGCACTCGTCAAAACTTAAAACATAACTTGTGTGTTAGTAGCGGAGGTTGTAGTACAAGCGGACCTTAGTTTGGCCCCCCGATATTCGTAATGAAATTGCTGAGATAATTCCTCAACGCACTTCCAATCAATTCGGTCACTAGTTGTTGGTTTAGTGCTTTCGTTACTTTAAGAATTTGCCAAGAAGAGTCTCCTTTCAAACTGAAAAAATATAAAACTCGAATCGAAAATGTTTGTCACACTCCTTCGTCGCTCTTTCGCAACGCTGTGCCAAATCATCGGACAATTAATGTAACGCCAGCAAAGGATTTTTTCATAAATCCACGCCAGGAAAATCTCGTACATGTTTGGAAAAGGCACTGAAGATCGTTTAGCAGTTGCTGTGGGAACCTACTGGTCGTACCGTTGAAGCATACAATGCGTGTCAGCCAAACGTGATGGTGGTTTATATTACACGCGTTTAGTGCGCCTATTGTAAGAAGATCCTTCGCAGGGTGCAAGTTAGTCAACCACGTTTATTGCCGTCTATCTATTGCCGTCTATCTATTAATAAACTGGATTAATCAACTGCCCATATAGAGCTTTTATTAACCTTATTATACCTCCAATTCGATTTCTCACTTTAACGACGATGGGCTTTATTGTCCAACGAAAGCAACCATTCCTTTAAATATTGTTGATCTTCTCGCTGCAAGCATCCTTTAATCGTTATCTCATGTACGCTACAGGTTAGAGAACAAGTGCTTATGTTTGCTTATTTAACAGAATGTTTGTGGGATAATGAGGAGTGTATGGCCCCTCGATTATTCAGATACAAATTTATTCTATTTTTTTCACACTCGACTACTGTATTTACTTTATTCTCATTCGCATAACAGAATCTTAGCCTTGTAATTTATTGAAAGCAACTTTGTGCTCTCTCCATTCTGTAAACATGGTACTTTTCTTATAAACCATGTAAAAGAAAAAACCAGCTAACGGCTTTCAGTGAAAAATCGAAGCCATTTTACTGGTGCATAAAGAGCTTGGCGAAAAATTGAAATCGAGTGAAAATTACCAAAAAAATTGAAATATATTATAAATAAGAAAGCGAAATACCAAATAAAATTTTATATTGCATTAAAAATTACTCGTGTGTCAAATAAATTTGAGATATATAAAGAAATTGTAAGAAATTAACAGATATATAAAATATATGTTGCATATGTACGTAATATAGTTTTCATATTTAATTCCTCGCGTTGGTGATAATGAATAACGGAGGTTTATGTGTTTTATTGTTGGTCTGACACTTTTTGTGACCAGAAGACAGTTGTTGTATTCGTACGTAATCCAGTTGTGACGTTTATCTCCATGGCAATGTGTTTTGTTGTTTGCATAAACAACACATGAAGCGTACTCTCATTATATGGACAGATTGTGATTGTGAAGATGAAAATATCGGCTTTAAAAGCCAAACTTAAATGTTTATCGAGCCGAAATTACTAACACAGCGATAAGACGTGCTTTACGCAATCTCACAACTCCAAATAAGCACCCAAATTATGTGGTAGATGTATGTTCCGAACTTTCGTCTATAGCTCGCTTTCAGACAATCAGATTACAACGTTTATTTTCGGAAAAAGTTGCTGTCAAATTGATATCTTATAATAGTTGGCAAATACCAACTGCGAACGGAAGTTGAAGCGTTCGTTTCGCAGCAATTTTGGGAAATAAAAGGTAAGCATATTATTCAAAATATGGAAGATTTCACCACAAAACTTAATTGAAATTATACAAGAGTTTTTGATTAAGTTTGTCATACTGTGGAGTTTCATTGGGACCGCAATCGTTTATTCGATAAACAAGCCTGCGAGGATTATTACTTAATATGTTTGTCTAATCCGAAGGCGACCATTGAAAATGTGACAGTCAAACCGAAAAGTAAATGGACACAGTGGAACTGGAAAAATTGGGGTCAGGTAAATTGAATTTACCCGCCAAAGGGATAGTAACAATTACCAAAAAGCTCTTTAATAAGGTGCTTACAAGTTGTCCGCGTACCGAGACAAACATATTTTCAAAGGATATAAATTGAATCTGCCTTCTTCTTGAAAGGGGCAGATTTTGCTTCTAATTTGTACTTTCGTTAAAGGTCAATTGTCGAAGAACAAGTCGAACATGCGATTTGAGGAACGTTCGCTCAGCATGTTGAACAATCCAGCCCTAATCCTACAAACGGCAAGAAATCTGATCAGGCGCATTCTTCACTTCATCAAAAGTAATAGCTTCGCGAAAGAGTTATGTCTTCTCTACATTACCTTCGATATCAGCCAGCCAAAAACCTAAGTTTGGACGGCCACAAATAATTTTCATAATTTTAATAAGAATTTGCTTAAGAAAAGTACTTGCACAATGTATCGATTGTTTATGATCTTCTTTCCCAATTTATGTAAGAACTTTATGCTTTGGAAACACAAAAACCCAATCAAGATTTGCACAATATTCATGCACTACATGTTATGCCCAGCGGATTGACGAATTATGCATAGCAAAGTGTAGTGTCGATGGCAAATCATATCTCCTACAATTAACATTCCCTATCCATATGACTGAGAGTGAAATTAGAGGCAAGTAAACTCGCCGTAAACTTTAATATAACACATAACTTTAGTTTATAATAGGTCTTCAAAAAAAATGCGATGACAAACTTGTGGAGAAATCGGAGTAGTGCATACCCGGGCAGCCATTAAACGTGCGCACGTAAACCCATATGGAGACGACAAATTCCAAGGTTAAACTACAGAGACGGGAAATTAAAAATAAAAGAAATGTTAGAAAGTTTTGATATCTGATGCGCACAAATTTTGAAAACAAAGTTAGTTTAATTATGCATAGTTTTATAAATTTACTTAAAGATTTTCATATAGTATCTGAATTTTTAAATAACCTACGGTAAGCGACAGTAATCGATACTAACAGGCCAACTAATCAAAGGCTCTAGGACTACATGAATTAATTTTAAATATACTGACCCTATTCTTCTAAGTTAAGCTAAGAGAGTTAGGATCAAGTAAAGTGAAATTAAAGTAAAGGGAATTCAGGAGAAGTTGAGAGTAATTAGCTTAAACTGAAGATTAGACAAGTTTGTCAGTGCTAAAGTAAGTTAGAGAAAGTTAGTCGGTCGAGGAGTGAGTGAAAGAGGAGACGCTTGCGTATGGTTGGCGCGGTCACAATGATAAATAAATAGATTGATATTTGTTATATTTTCAAATTTTCGTTTTATTTGCTGTTGGTATAATATAGGGAAAATTTATTTAAACAGAAAATAATCCTACAAGTGTTTTGATTAAAAAATTCCTGGTCAAATATAAATAAAATAAAAATTTCTCAGGAATAATTTTTCTTAACTTTTGTTTACTTCTATCAAAAAACGTATGCATTTTTTCTCATACACATTCTGAATGGTTTTTGTTCACTTTTAAAGACCTGTCATGTGATTCTTACAAATTCTGAGAGACTACGTTCGATTCTTAGAAATTCTTAGAAACTGCTGTAATATTAATTAGAGAATTAAGAAGAACAATAATAGAAAAAATTGAAAAATGTCCATAATAAATATATAAATAAATATATTGATACACATTTTCATATTTCAGTCTTCTATCTTTCATAATTCGTGAATGATGAGCTCACAATGACTCACAAGTTTTTGCTTAGAGAAACAGAGTTGCGTTCGATTTACGCTTGACGCTTTACTACGAACGTCTGCTCTGACCAATTTGGCCCATTTTCGATACCAACTTGCGTGCAGATGGGTTCAATATTTCTACTAAGTTTGAAGTCGCTGACTTCATTTTTGCGGCTAGGAGAGTGACAATAACCATTGTACGAACAGACGGACAGATATGGTTTAATCAATTCAGAATTTCACGCTCTTACTTTTTAAGGTCTCTGAGGTTTCGAACGTGACAACCAACGAGTGAAGCTGAGAGTGAAATAATTGTGTTTAAAATGCAAAGCAAAAGTTGTAAAAAATTTCTTGAAGATTGCGATTGAAAAAACTTGAAGCTTTTTGGTAGATATGATGACCTATTAAAACATATAATTGATATATAAAAATGCCTCTAAA